TGCAGAAGGCTACTGAGGAAACTGAACTGGGAAACGTTAAAGAGTGGCAGTCCATAGCGGGGGCTCTCTTCCCCAGCAGTGGGATGTGCTGCCATGTTTTTTTATTTACATAATTGTACTTTGAGGACAAGAAGGGTCTGGTTTCAATCCCCCGGCTGGGCGCCCAGAGTCCTTTCTGTGTGGAGTTTGTATGTTCTCCCTGTGTCTGTGTGGGTTTCTTCCCACAGTCCAAAGACATGCAGTCAGGCTAAATTGTCCCTAGGTGTGAGTGTATGTGCGAATGTATATGTCTGCGTGTCTGCCCTGTGATGGACCGGTGACCTGTCCAGGTTGTTTCCTGCCAGTCTCCCAGTGACCGCTAGGATAGACTCCAGGTCCCTCTGCAACCCAGGAGGATAAGCAGCTTAGATAATGTGAGTATGTGTGTGTGTGTACTTTGAGTGAATATTTTTACTGGACATTGGCATTTGTTGGACTTGGCTGGAATGGCAGACTGTTTTCTCAAATACTATATTTGGTATTTACTGGCTAACACATTCAGCTGTAAAGTTTGGTGGAGGAGGGATGATGATATGGGGCTGTTTTTGAGTGATTCAACAGAGAATAGGCACAGAGGATTAAACACTCAGCAGCCCCACTCTGTGAGTTTGCGTGGTCTACCGCTTTGTGGCTGAGCTGTTGTTGCCCTGAGGTGTTTCCATTCCCCAACAACATCACATACGGTTGTCTGGGGCAGATCTAGCAGGACAAACATTTCACAGACTGACTTGTGGCAGGGGTGGCACCCTATAACAGTGCCATGTCAAAGTCACTGATCTCTTCAGTACGACCCATTCTACCGCCAGTGTTTGTCTATGGAGACTGCAAGGCTGTGTGCTTAATTTTATCCACCTGTTAGCAGTGGGTGTGGCATATGTGTGTGTAAGTATGTGTGGTCATTCTACAGAAATAGTTCAAAATCAGTTCAAAACATATTTTATTTTTAGCCACGCCCCTGCATTTTAGAGCAGGAAGTGAGACTGCATCCCTGTTGCTCGTGGCCCTGAAAGTCTGAAAATCAGTGTGGGACATTAAGAATTGTCACTACCGAAACACATTTTCTGCAATTAAGTATCCTTTTTGGTTTTAATGAAAAATATGATGATTTTATGTGTACAGTGTTTGTTGGTCATGTACTGGTAAAGTTTGGGTAGAGTTATGACTCTTTCGATAGTGATAAGATGTAATTATCAATCATCTATTTTAATAAACATAATTAAGGTATGGGGTCACAGCAAAAGAATTTTAGTCTAAAGTTTCAAATCAGTTAAAAAAAATGTCCTTAAACTATAATCTACAAATGCTGTGTTCATATTTTCACCAAGAAAATCCACAAAATATGTAATTTGACCAGGGGTGTTCAAACTTTTGCATGTGACTGTATATATATATATAATATATATATATATATATATATATATATATATATATACCAGTGTACTGGGCCTCTCTGTAGACTAGTGTCTTTGTAGCTGTTATTATAGAGTCAGATTCCGGACTGGAATGAATCAGTCAGAAAGACCTTTTACGAAACCGTGTATTACATTATTATTTTCCTTTCTATGCAGGAAGCGTCGGCTTCTGCTCACAGATAAGCCATTTCCTGAAGAACATGTGTGCAACAAGATAAACCCTGTTGGAAGCTGAATTATTCATCACATCATAATTAATTAACCTGTTAATCTACAAACCTCATTACAGCTCCGCTATTACAGAGTCAGAAATGGCTCTGAATCTAAAACAGAGGCTGCTCATGATTTCACTGTTTAAAGCTTTCATGTGTCTGTGTTCTTTTACATTTCGCCTCTTTTCCTGTTCGGAGGAAACTGATCGTTTAGCGGTGAAAACTGTTGATGTGCATAAGCGTGTACAGGGTGTGGTTTGTTCCACGTTCAGGCTGATGGATAACGTCCGTCAGCTCAGAGCAGCTATCGGGGGCCTTTAGGAGCTGGTAGAAAAAGTGCTGAGGGGAATTCAGTTTATTATATTTGTTTTGTGTTTGATGGCTGCAACTGAGCCATGCACCACCGAGGAGAGGAACAGTGAGATATTCGCAGTCAGACGAATAGCTGGAGATGCTAAATTGGTATAATGGGGCTGTTTTTCAGGGGTTGGTCTAGAACTCTTAATTCCAGTGAAGGGAAATCTTAATGCTTCAGCAGACCAAGACATTTTGGACAACTGTACGCTGCCAACACTCTGGGGAAGAACCTTTTCTGTTCCAGCATTAATGTGCACCAGGGCATAAAGCAAGGTCCATAAAGGCATAGCTGGGGAAGAACATGACTGGCCCATCATTATCAATAAATAAAAGAGAACCGCTTCCATTGGCAGCTGTACATATCCATGCCTTAAAGCTACCTCCACCATGCTTGACAAATGAGTCTTCTCTTCCCATCATTCTTGTAGAAGCTAATCTTTGTCTCATCTGTCCTTAAGATGTTGTTCCAGAACTGTACAGGCATATTCATGATTATAATATAATAAAGTGCAGGATGTGCCTTTTTTATATGGTACATTATAGGTAAGAATATAGTATGTATTTAAGTGTTAATGGTATGTACTTAAGTGTTCACTTACCTTGATATTCACAGATGACATGAATAATGAAGCATGAAGATTGAATTAGCCATTAGAAGGCTGTGGCATTCAAGCGATGATTGATTGGGATTAACAGCCCAAAGTGTGCCAAAAAAACATTCCCCACCCCATTACACCACCTCCACCAGCCTGGACTGTTCATACAAGACAGGTTGGGTCCATGGATTCTTGCTGTTGGCACCAAATTCTGACTCTAACATCTGTGAGCCTCAGCAGAAATCCAGATTCATCAGACCATGTCACGTTTTTCCAGTCTTCAGCTGTCCAGTGTTGGTGAGCCTGTGTCCACTGCAGCCTCAGCTTTCTGTTCTTGGCTGACAGAAGTAGAACCCAAACGTGGTCTTCTGCTGTTGTAGCCCATCCACTTCAAGGTTCAACGTGTTGTGCATTCTGAGATGCTTTTCTAGCCTTTCTGTCAGCTCGAACCAGTCTGTCCACTTTCCACTGACCTCTCTCATCTACAAGGCATTTCCATCCTCAGAGCTGCCGCTCACAGGATGTTTTTTGTCATTGCTCCATCCTGAGTAACTCTAGAGACGCTGTTTGTGATAATTCTAGGACACCAGCAATTATAGAAACACTCAAACCAGCCTGTCTGGCACCAACAATCACACTATAGTGTGTGTACATTAATCAGGCTTACTGTGGTCTCTAATATGAGAACTGTTGCTGGTGTCTAGGGGAAATAAATGTATGGCTGCTTGCTCGGTGCAGTATTTGCTGCCATTTGCTGCCATAGCGAGTTGTTATGTTGATATATTTAGCATAATCAGATTGAGTGGTGTTACACAGGGTCCATACAGCAGAGCGCTGAACAGACAACAGAAGAAGAGCTACATATACATTGCTATTCTTGATTTGTTCACAAGTGAATCATTCAGTAAAAACCTTCTGAATCGTTCACGTATGTATTTTTGTTATACAGTGTTATTTATACTACACATGCATTAATCATTCATTTTTTATGGCCGATTCTGATTTCTTGACAGCCAAATTGGCCAATGACCGATTTTTATTAGCCTTTTTGGTACCCACAGCTCACACACAGTGCATATGAACACACAGTGCATACGAACATATGAACCACATTACTGCATTCCCAGTACTTTCTATTGGCCAGAGTTACAATATTCATAACATGATTTATTTTCTAAGTGAAAAGAAGTTGTCACATTCTCTCCAAGGAACAAACGTATGTACTTATATGTGGCATTTTCTGCCAATTTTAGTGCACAATTGCACTAAAGTGCATAATTCTTTGCTGAATTTAACATACTGGGGAAAAAAATACAATATGTGCCAGAACCTTTGCACAGACCACATTTCATGTTTTGTTTTTTTGCCTAATATGTTAAATTCAGCAAATAAACAGTCATTTTGTATGTAAATGTGCCGAAGTGTGTCTCTGTAGAGGATGTGTTAATTTATTTTCACTTACACACTTAAAAATGATGGTTCTCCAAGGGTTCAATGCAATGGTTGCAGGATTAAAGGGTTCTTTGCATTGTGGAAAGGTTCTACAGGTTTTTGGAGAATGTTCTGTGTCTTTTTAAAAATAATGGTTCCAATGGTCTTTTTTCTGCAGGGTTGCAGTGTTTTGTCCATTATTTAAATGTTAAAGAGCTGCTGAGCTACATTATTATCTGTGAGCAAATACAAATGTAATGAGGCAGACACAGTTAGATGTTCGCCGTTAAAAGATTTAAAAGAGGCTTTACTGTTGTGAGGATAATCCACAGACATAGTCGAGAAACAGGCATGGGTCAGAACCAGAACAGAGCAGAGAAAAAAGAGACAAACACAACAAACACTAAATCCAAGCAGACAAATCCAGAAGGGAGAAGGCAAAAGGCGAAGTCGAAATACACAGGAAAACAGGTTTGGTACACAAGCAAAACATATACAATAAATAATGCTGAGTAGCTCTGGTGAAAGAAGCAAGAACTCACAGTGATCTAATCTAAAGCCTAGGCATATATAATATTCAGAAAAGGAGATATTGTTGACTCCAGTAATATACTGCAGTCAATATGTAGTCTTGTAAAAATACAGTACAGTATGTCATTACTGAGTGCTGTAAATATTACAGTTACTCATGAGTCATATTTTATAGCGCAATACTGAAATTCATCTGAAGTTATCTGATAAGTAAATTCTGCCTCATGATTTCAGTGTCACTGCTGATCTCAATCAAGGTTTCAGGACAAGCTGTCCAGTCATGCCAAAAGAAATCAACTGTCCAGTCATGCCAAAAGGGTGATGAAACAGCAGAAACTTCCTCAGAGTCCTGACTGAATATAAAGCGGCTTTGGATCTGGACATCTCTTCATACTGCTCTTCTAGACCCACAGTGACCAGAGGTACACGGAGAAAAGAGGGAAGGAAAGAGACATTTCTCTTTGACAGTCCACTGAGGCAGCAGCAATGCATCAGCTAGTGTACATTACAATGTTTCTAGCCTCCTTTGGATCCTCAGTCAGAGGATACAGACCCTATAAGTCGGTACTTACTGTTAGTAATGGTGGACCCTGGGGCACATGGGGCGAGCCTGAAATGTGTCCACCAGGCTACTACGCTGCAGGTTTCAGTCTGAGGGTAAGTGTGCTGTTTTCTTCTTGATTCTTGATTCTTCTTGCAGTTAGAACCATGAGCAGTCTTCACTGAATCCAATAATGTATGCATATAAATCTTATATGTTCCCTTGTGAAAGAAAAATGCATTTAGGTGAACTGTTCAAAAGTGTATTTAATATGAAAAATGCATATTTTTAACGTTTACTCTTTGTACATACTTTAATACATGCTAAATGTAGTATGTCGCTGTTGTGAAAACTCCAGTTACCCTTTGCATTGTGTTAAAATGTCATGATGAATCCATTACAAGTTAAGAAGGTTTGTATATACTATATGGACAAAAGTATTGGGACACCCCTCCTAATTATTTAATTCAGGCGTTTCAGCCACACCCATTGCTAACAGGTGGATAAAATCAAGCACACAGCCGTGCAGTCTTCATAGACAAACACTGTCAGTAGAGGGTCGTACTGAAGAGCTCTGTGACTTGAAACGTGGCACTCCCATAGAATGCCACCACTGCCGCAAGCCAGTTTGTGAAATTTCTGCCCTGCTAGATCTGCCCCAGACAACTGTAAGTGCTATTGTGATGTGGAAACATGATGTGAATGCAGTGAAGAGTAATACGAATGCAGTAAAGAGTGATGTGTTTTTAGGTTGAATACCCAATAAGTGGGGACGACTCCGCACTGAATGGAATTCGTCTGCACTGTGTCAACACACCCAGCGGCAAAGCATGGAATTCACACTTCGCCACAGTGAAGTCTGACGCGGGAAGGTGAGTGGCTTACAAATTTAACTTCGTCTTACTTTTTGTCTTACTAATTTTTGACATATATATTATAGTCTACAGTGTAAGTATGATACAGTGCAATATATCAACCTGTACTCAACCTGAACTAAATATACACATTAACTTATATCCTCACCATTAGCCAAAAAAGATGAACAAATTTGAGATAATCTGAATTTCTTTCTCTTCTTTTATCTATAGTTTTTTTTTTATGTTTTTACTCTGAACTGGCAGAGAATGAATGCTGTTGGCCTTTTCTGTTGAGAGATTTTTGTAACAACTTTTTTCTGCGTTTTTTCAGTTTGATTGGGTTGGACTAAATTTGGCACAAAAATTTGACATCAGATCTGCCAACAGGAGTTAGCAACATGTAAATGTCAGCTACTTGCATTTCTGTCCCTCACATGAAGTGACTGATCTCTCGCTGCTCCGACACCCAGACAAAACTCCCAGCAAGCAGCTTATTTAAGCTTTTCTGTATGTGTTAATGTTGCTGTTATGAAGATTTTTTACACTGGTGTTTGTACCATAGCTAGATGCTGTTTCCTACTTGCATTAGCCACCCGCTGCAGATCTAACTGTAAGAGACTAACTTCAATTACGAAAGCGCGATAGCTAGCTGTCCACCTTAACTGTAGACATACAATGATATACTAACAATGAGGCACATGAGAAATTTCTCCACAGTGTCCACTAAAATGACCTTGCTGACTCATAACGGGAGCTTGTGTTACCTTCACTTCATTAGAAAGATCCAACAGTTAGCTAGCTACAGGTTATGAATATAATATCAGTGCATTCAGACATCAACACGATATGTTGTGATCTACCCGTCATAAGATGAACACCTGAGTTCTCCAACATTGGCATCATTTCACAACAGAGTTTTTTTCCAGACCCAGGACCGCTTGCTCTGTGCATTCGGTATGCTTGGTGTGAAAGCTGTTTTTGAGCCCGGGAGCGGTCCAGAGAACCAATCTCTGGTCCTCCTGAAATCGGTCAGCAAGTGAGAAGAGCGAAGTGGTCTATTTTTTGTAGGGGAAGCGCAAACATGTAAGGCTGAACCACACGGATTGGCGGTGTCACTCAACACTGGAGCTGGGTTGTTTACGTTGGCAGGCAGACGCCACTCACAATCATTGTAGATTTCTGTTGCCCACACAGTTATAAATAGGCAGCAGCTCAGAAGTTTTGGAGCACTTACCTACTATTAAATTGTATTAATTTATATTTATTTTTAATATAACACTGGTAAATGTTTTCTCTGCTGCATATCTTTGTTATTAAACCATGTTGTTGGGGTTACAGGTAGAAAATAGTCTTCCTACTCGTCATGATCGTTTGAGCCTTTAGGATTTGTTTCCTCTGTCAGGGTTTTGTGGAAACATTAATACTATCTGTGTTTATGTTCTTTTACCAGCTGGGGTGTATGGACAGAACCAAAATACTGTCCATCTGGGATGCTGATAAGCTTTCAGCTCCGTGTTGAAGGTCACCAAGGAGATGGCGACGATACAGCTGCAAACAACATAAAGTAATGGCCATGATTTTGCATTCATGACTGTTCCATTATCTTTCACCCCACATTTAACCCCCTAAATGGCCAGAGACCACCAGCATGCCCAAAGTTTTATTACACACTTCTATAACCTAAGAAAACTCAACCACTTTGCATTGAAGTCCCTGTAGTTACGGAATAACAAGCCTTAGTATGTGATAAACCTGGGATTTTAAGGGGTTAACTGTCACAGAAAAAAGGCAGAAAATTGTCAGTGGAGTGGCATTTCTCAAGTTACTGGTCATCATTGGTGAATTTACATTTTGTTAATTTCCATTTACTCCACACACTCTGTCTTGACTAGGCTTGTTATTTTATTTTTCTGTTTTAAATAGTACTGGTAAAGGTTAAAATATGTCATTTTCCTTTGGGAAGGCAAATGCAGGGTACATTTAAACTTCATTTAAAATACACAGTTGGAACAAAACAAATGGTTTGGTTTAAGTGTACACACATGCACATATCTTAGATGTAGTCAATCGCCTGAGACAGAGTCCAAACTTTGTTAACTGCACTGTTAAGTCCAGCCCTGGTGTTCACCACTTGTAGCAGGTAAGTTTTGTTCATTTTTATAGCTCACAGTCATACTGTGCTCTCAGCCTGGATGCAGTTTGAGCGGGTCGAAGTTTTGATGATAAAATTTGGTCAGATTTTGCATCTTTACCTTAGAATTGGAGCTACGAGGCTAAAGTAGCTAACAAACACTAGAACACAATAGTCACCCTAATAGCTCAAACTGTTTCTGTATAAATACATTCACAATACTTCTCTCAGCATTAGGGTCATGCAGATTTGTAGATGAGGTTCAGAACACAGCATGACTCTAAAAGTGAACAGAACTGCCGGCAGCCATTTTTGACAACAGGATCTATATTCGCATGTACATTATTTGTATTTATAAATATGGAGGAATCTTGTCCTGCTTTATGGATATCAGCACTGATGATGTCTGAAATGGCTGCCGATAGCGGTGAAGTTGTGTTCATTTTTACAGAGCTGGGTGATATGGCCAAAAATGTTATCATGATAAAAATTTTCGTATCAGTCAATGTCGATACATATCACAATAAATGTCAAATCATTACTTCTTTCAAGTTCAAGGCTGATTCTTGCCCCTGATTGGTTAATTGCTGTTTTCAACTATCCTTTATGGTCAGAACATCACAAACACTCACCAAACAGTGGAACATTTCACAAATCTGGGAGAGTGGGAGAACGTTTCTGATTAGCTGTTTTTACCAGCTGGAGAAGCACGGCCACAGTTTTTGTAATAGTCATAATTTAAGAAAGAAACAGATTATTTTAGCTGTCTGGTGATGAGCGCTAGGCTATCCAGTTACAAGTGCTAAACTGTTTACTTTCTCAACAATGTCAGCTTAATATGAATAGGAAACATTTGTTGGCTCGGTAAGTCAGCGATGGATCACACCACCTTACTGCCATCACTCCTACCACAACCATGTCAGAGTATATCACAGTATTCAGACACCAGCTAGCAGATGACTGGGTTTCTCTGTTCTATTGTAGTTGTTTTGAGGGGTGAACTGCAGTATATCTGACGCTCGCTGTGTAAAAGCTTTAACTGCAGTGTGATTCTCTAACACTAGACAAACAGAGTCCTCCTTTTAGGTACGTTTAAACTGAAATCAGTGCCTTTTTTGTCTTGTTTGATCTACAGTATCATCAATTTGGCTGTGCTGTGCAAGTGACAGAGTGCTGCTTCAAGTTAGCCAGCTGCTAAAAACAGCTAGCCTGGAAAGATAGCGCTCTCCCGCTCTCCAGTGCCTCACAGCTTCCTCAGTTTACTTTCGTAAAGGCTGTAAGTCGCATGAACCCACTTCTTTCTTTCACTTTCGTTGTTTGGGAATGCACTAATACTAAAATATGACTGAGCATTGTAACAGCGCTGTAGTTGAGAGGAGCAGAAGTGATTTAACGCTGCTAAAGCTGGTTAGGATGCACTGAAAGAGGTGAGTTCACTGTAGGTCAGTACAGTTATACCACTGATCTCGTCACTCACACTCGGTCACAGGAGAGCAGATCGCCGGTCGCTCCACTCAGACAGGGAATATATAACTCCACGTTTCAGATGTTGCTAAAGTATATTTGGCGACTCATTTCACTCCTTGACTCTCCCTCTGTAATCGCGTCGAAAAACTGGGAAGTGTGCCCTCATGTGGCGAGTAGTGTCGCTTTCCTTGCAGTAGAAAACGCCACCAGGGCTGTCGCTAGAATGTGGAAGTGTGAGAATGGTCTATTATATCGAACATTTATCGAACATTTCTTATATTTCTGTCAAAGAAAGTTATATCGCAATAATTATTGTTGCCGTTTTACCGCCCAGCCCTAGCTCACAGCAAGTCATACTGTGTCCAAAACCACATCTACAAGTCTGCACGATCTTAATGAAGACCTGCATGAGGTCTGAGAGGGTTGCAAGAGGTTTTGGTGATGGATTTTTACAGAAACAATTTGGGCTTTTGGGTGACTATTGAGTTCTAGTGTTTGTTAGCTACTTTAGCCTTGTAGCTCCAATTCCAAACTAAAGAAGCAAAATTTGACCAGATCGTATCATCAAAACTTTGAACCACTTAAACTGCATCCAGGTTGAGAGCACAGTACAACTGTGAGCTATAAAAATGAACCAAACTTCACTGCTACAGGTGGTGAACACCAGGGCTGGACTTAACAAAGCAAGACAGATCTTGGAGTCCTCATGGTCACTGTCAGAAATACTGATTCTAGATCAGCACTTAGAATCCTTGTTGTTTGTGAATACAGACCCTGTTGTCTAAAGTTGCTGCCTGCAGTTTATTTCATTTTTATAGCTCACAGTAAGTCGCACTGTGTCCTAAACCACATCAGAAAGTCTGTGCCACCTTAATGAAGACCTGGATGTGGCTGAATGAAACTTTGGTCATGGTTTTTTACAGAAATGCTTTGGGCAATTTCTGTGACTACTGAGTTCTTGAATTGGCTACGTTAGCCTCGTTGCTCCAGTTTTGAACTAAAGAAGCAAAATTTGGACTCCAACCACATCTTGGCGGAATTACTACATTTAGGGAAAGTGGCAAATTGGATACATTTTATTTTTTGACAAACTATTCCTTTAAGGCCGTTGTTGTACCTGTACAGTACCCCTCAGTGACATTTTAGATGATTGTCACTGCTAAACTGTGGATAGATGTAATCTGATCTGAATCATTGCCAGGTTCCAGTGCAGTGGAATTCAACTAGAGCTTGTCGGTGAGGGCACGTCCTGGGGTGAATGGGGCGGCTGGAGTACGCACTGCAGAGGAAAGGGGATCTGCGGCATCCAGACAAAAGTAGAGCCACCGCAAGGGTCAGGAGACGACACCGCTCTCAACGACGTTAAGTTCTTCTGCTGCGACTGAGGTACAAAGAATTTCAGCTGAAATATTTCAACATCTGTGGTTTTTAAGGCACTGAATGCCTGTTGTTGTTTACTTACACCAATAGAACCCTGATTTATACGGAACAACAGTTTGACAGGACGTCTTTTTCTGTTCTATGTGTTCCAGGTGCCGCCTGTCATTTGATCCAAGTTAATGTGTGCCAAGATGAAAACAAGATGGATCATCTGTCCGCTTCTCTCTTCTCTCTCTCTGTCTGTCTGTTCTTTTTTCTGAATGTGCAATGCTTTCCAAAATCATTCTGAATAAATATATATAAAAAACTCACTAAAATGTCTCAATTGATGTGTTTCTATGGTCAACACTGTGAAACTTAAAATACAGCAAATACACTCACTGAGTACTTTGTTAGCCCCCTTTTACCCTGTTCTTCAGTGGTCAGGACCCCCACAGGACCCCCACAGAGCAGGTACTATTTGGGTGGTGGGTCATTCTCAGCACTGCAGTGACACTAACTTGGTGGTGGTGGTGTGTTAGTGTGTGTTGTGCTGGTATGAGTGGACTGAGGTGTTTAAAATCTCCAGCAGCACTGCTGTGTCTGATCCACTTGCACCAGCGCAACACACACCAACACGCCGCTGCCACGTCAGTGAGTGCGTTTACATGCATAACAATCCGATCACACATGCACAGACTGAGAAACCCAAAAGAAATCAGAGTTTACAGAAATCTGATTACTGAGCTAAAATCCAGCTCTCTTCATCTGATTTCTAGACCTTACTCCAATCTAAGAAATCGAGTGTGCTGTTTACATGACCATTTGAATAATCAGATAACTGTAGAAATATGATTATGATCGGATTATTGAGAGCCTGTAAAAACACTCTAGTGTTACTGCAGTGCTGAGAATGACCCACCACCCAAATAGTACCTGCTCTATGAGGGTCCATGGGGGTCCTGACCACTGAAGAACAGGGTAAAAGGGGTCTAACAAGGTATGCAGAGAAACAGATGGACTACAGTCTGTAACTGTAGAACTACAAAGTGCTCCTGTATGGTCAGTGGAGCTGAAAAAATGGACAATGAGTGTAGAAACAAGGGTGTACCTAATAAAGTGCTCAGTGAGTGTTTATTTCATATAAAAAAGACAGTCACTGGGGTGGTACCCCTCTTGTTGCTGGAAGGCTCAGATTAAAATCCTCTGATGCCCCAGGGCATTAAAGCTACAGTGTCCTGTCCCTGGGAACATAACCCTCTCCTAACACACACACACACACACACTGACCTAATCACTGAGGTGGTATGAGGCCGAAATATACAAGAGTTACACCATTTAGTGTTTTCTTTTGTGTTTTATTTGGCACAGCGTAATACAGAGTTTAATCCCCCTTGCCTGTGATAAAACCACTGGAACACATGGCCGCAAATGGCCAAATGCATTTATAAAATGCTGCACAACATAAAATATGACACCATTTTTCAGTAAATAATTTTAAGAATAATTGAGATTATTATTCCACCAAGAAATGTAATTCCTTTACATTATGTTGTTGCCAAACAACCATGGACTGCTGAATGAGGAGAACAACATTCAGTCGCATATCGTTGTACACTCCAGTCACTTCATCAACTTTTTAACTCTTTGTTTTACAATAATAAACATATCATGTCCTGTCCTCAACTGAAGTGCCTTGCTTCAGTCAACAGGCAGCTAAACTCCTCTCCAATAGCCACACAGACCAGAGATTCCAATATATCTCAATATATATCAATATATATCTATGTTTACTGAAGGTACTCGGAGTAGGGTAAAAATGAGAAAAATCAATTTAACACTCTGGCACACTCTAGGTCTAGCAAGATAGCTGAGTGAAATGGAACTGAAACGACTAGTGACTCATGTATGTAGATATGAATTATAAGCAGTGTACATGACATCAATAGAAAGGTATTAACTATATCAGGAAAAAAAGCAAAGATTGAATTATGAATATGCATAGTAAGCACAAGAGTGATTAAGATTTCATAATTCAGTCTGCTAAATCCACTTTTGAATTCACACAAACTTCACAAATGCTTGTCAATATAGAGAAGTAAACAGTAGAAAGGACTTCCTACATACTGACAACTTCATCTAAAGTCAGTTTGTAGAAGATGATTAAAGATAAAACAGAGGGACAGTAGCTACACTTCCACTGGCAACTGCATGAGCCAGATTCACAATGATGACATCAAAGGCACATTACTTAAACTACATAAAGAACACTGCCAGTAGGTGGCGCCAGTGTATAAAGTATAAAATATAAAGGACAGCTGGTGTGTTGAAATGGTGTAGAAAAATAAAAATCGACAAAAATGGAGACATATGGTTTTCTTTGGACAGCAACGATATATATGTATATGCTCATTCAATGAAAACTCACGACCCCGACAAAACATAACAAAACATTTATTTAAATTGAAACAGTGGAGTGTTGAACAAGCTGTTGTGTTGTTCCAGCATTGCAACTATGGCAACTGAGAAGGTCATTCATGGCATTCTTTCTGAAGAATTTTCAGAGCCTGATGAAGATGTAAGATAGATAGATACTTTATTGATCCCAGAGGAAATGGGTTTAAATATGTGAATGAATCTAATTACCTAAACAACTACATTATAAAGTTGAAATGCTGTCAAAAACAAAACACATTTTGTGGAGTGTTTGTGGAAATTTGTTCATGCAACTGTACAATAAGATAAAATTAAATAATTAGCTTATTGTAGTGAAAACAATTACAGTAAAAAAGTGATGTTGGAAAACTGCCAACGAAGCTTTACATCACTGAAACCTATTCAAATAACATGGGCTTCTTCCATGGGGTTAAATTGGTGAACCTCAAAATGATTTTTGTTGTTTTCAATTGTCATTTTTTTAATATTTTATACCTTATTCATGCGTTGTTTGTACACTGACTCATAAATACAAAGACATATTTATAATTGGTCTATTTTTGTGCCTACCTTATGAAAGCAGTAGATCCACTTGAATACTACAATAAAACATTCATCTGTCTATCCACAACTGTTTACTCTGGCACATCAATGTTTATCAATTCCTGCCACATCAGTGCCATGTGAGCGTATATTCTCCAAGGCTGGTGAGGTAATCAGTAAAAAGAGAAGTCGTCTTAATCTCAACACAGCAGAACAAATTTTGTTTCTGAATAGAAACCTGAAAGTTGTTGATTTCAACACACCCCTGTCCCACCAACCAGTTACAAATGCAGTGTCAGCCTCAAATCCTGCACCTTTGCCAATTTGCACATGTACAGCTTCATTAGAATTATTTCCATTACCACAAATATCACAATATCTTCCTTACTTGGGAAGTTTATGATGTACGCATGACGATAAGCCAACATAAAGGGCAAATAAAGTTATATTTAGTATTGTTTTCTTTGTCCATAGTTACATTTATTTAAAAAAAATAGCTGCATCTAGAAGGAATCGTGAGACATGCGAATGATTCAAGTTTCACACTCGGCCGTGCATGTGACGTAAGCAAGGACGGGCCTTATTACTGTACTTGACTGACTAAATAAGGCCGTCCCGTTGCACGTTCTTTCCATTCTGACTTCTGCTGTTGTGTTGGTAGCATCCTTTGCAAGCAAACACAGCCAACAGCTACAATTGCGGACATTCAGCGAGCATTACGGACCCGGAGGTCTGCCATGAGTCTGATTCACTCATCATACATCAGGAGATGCAGCGAGTCAGAATTAAAATATGAACAGAATTATCAAATGAATCCTCTGAGAATGCAGAGGTTTCCTGCTCTCCTTTACCAGCACTTGTAAAAACAGTCATACTCTCTATATATTTATATGCAGAGATTTTTTTTTTTATAAAAAAAAACAACAGGAATGGTGAGACCAAGACAAGATTGAGACTGAGACAAGATTTTTTTAGAATTTAAAAATAATAAGTAAGAAAAGAAAAACCACTGAAACCACTAAAAAGGTTCCATATCGTTCATTATACATTATATTAGATGAATATTGTATTTATAACATATCTTGTAAAACTAAACATTAAATAGTATATAGACTGAAAATATTATTATATTATGATATTAGTTCAATTCTGTGTTATAACTTTGATGGTAGATTATTCCCTGTCCCTTCTTCTCTAAAATCTATTTGGAATCACTACCTAAGGTCAACTAAATATAAACCAAACAATGTACATCCATTTTTATTATTAAATTAAAACATTCTGATCTGCCCAATTAAGCTGTCATGGAAAGATCAATTAGACTTTATTTGAAATAAAATATAAAATACGTCCTAAAGTCAAATTATCTGTGAGCCAAGTGTCAGGTGATCTTCTCCAAAGAGGCCTGGTAGAATGTAGGTAAAAAATCTTATGTATTTTTCATCCAAGTACTTCAAATATGCACTTATTTAAGTGCATCTTGGTCAGTGCATATTAGCAAGCCTTCTGTCACCACAATCCACTACTACTACTACTGATGATGATGATGATGATGATGATAATAATCATCACTGTAGTAGTAGTATAAATACAGAGAAGTTTTGACACTTAAAAAAATAAACATTTTAGTGTTCTGTTGCATTAGATAAACTTACATTTAACACTAATTGAACAGGATTCTTATTATGATAGCATTAATCTAATGCACAAAAGCACAATCTAGCACGATGGACTCAGCACTAATGTAGAGACACAGTTAACTGACTCGCTAACTAATCTGAGCTAAGTAGGTTCGGTCTTCTTGTCCAATGTCTGTTTTGCTGTGTTGTTTCAGAATTATAAGCACAAGTTAGTGCTTTATTAAACCTAAAGCTGCTGCTGATGTCCTGTTATGGGTGCATAAGTTAAAAGGCAGTAAAACTTTGTGCCTCAGATATGAAACAGAAAGATGTGTAATCAATGTACTAGCAGAACATACTGTGATGTCTCAGCTCTCAGACGTTCTCCTTCAGTTGTAATCACAGATTTTGATTTCATTTTGTTTGGGTGGATTATTTTCAATGATAAAAAAATAAATAAGGGTTCAATAAACAACTTATTTACTCTTACTTTTTTCAAATTTTCTGTATTAATATTTTTTTGTAATACAGTACATCATTTCTTTAGGGGGGGGGGGTTAATTCTAATGTATATCACTTTATAATACTGTTCCAGATCCTTATAAACTCTTAGTTGATTGATAATGAGTTACCATGTGTTTCACTTTATATTGTTCCTGATCATCATTAGTTCCTAATGAAGAACAGCAACACCTCAGTCATAATCTAACAGACAGTTATCATTACTTGGTAAT